TACATTCCTTTAATACCCTTGCAAACAGTTTCATCAGGGCCTGGGGATTTGTTAGGTTTTAGTTTCTCTATTTGTCTGAGGACCATGTCACTGGTTACTGTAATCATACATAGTTTATTATCATCCTGTTCTACATAATCCATTATTTTAGGATTATCGCTAGTATTTCCTGGGTGAAAACTGAGAGGAAGTAGGTATTTAGAATTTCACACATATCCTTATCACTGACAGTGATCTGACCAGAGTTAATCTTAAGTGGGCCAATGTTGTCTCTAATCTTACTTCTGTATACCTGAAAGAGCCCTTTAGGGTTAGTCTTTGAATCCCTTGGGACCTTAGTCTCATAATCCCTTTTTGCTTTTCTTATTCCTTTCTTTTATTCTCTTTTAATTGAATATATTGATTCTTAACTGCCCATCCCCTCTTTTGATACGCCTATATATGCCTCTCTTTTGACCAATGAGATGTTTTAATCTATTGTTCATCCATTTGGGATCATTTTGTTAGATCTAATTTCCTTACTTGGAACAAAAGTTGTCTGAGCAGCTAGAACTATGCTCTGAAAAACGTTATATTGGCAACCAAGATCACCTACCTGACCCATAGTCAGGACATCCCAATTAGCCCACCCAAATAATTTTTCAGACCCATGAAGTCGGCCAAGCGAAAATCTGGGACAGAGATTTGATTGCACTTATCTGTAGTAATTCCATGATATATTGAAACTAAGTGATTTGTGATCACTTTCCCCAAGCTCATCATTAACCTCAAGATTATTAATTAGTGAATCGTTGTTGGCAAGAACCAAGTCAAGCAGATTGCTTCCTCTAGTTGGTTCTGTCACAACCTGTTCTAAAAAGCAATCCTGAACCGTATCAAGAAAGTCACTAGACTCAAGATTTCCTGTCATATTGTTCCAATCAATTTGTCTAAAGTTAAAATCTCCCATTATCACAACATTTTCACATCTAGATGCCTTATGAATTTTGCCCCATAACAGCTTACTGCACTCCCTATCAAGGTTTGGGGGCCTATAAATCACACCCAAAATTAATTTGTCACGTTCCTCGAGAAACTGTAGCCAAACAGATTCTGTGTTCGATGTTTCTAATCTTATATCATGTCTAAGACAACCATTTAAATTTTCTCTGACATACATCGCCACACCACCACCCTTCCTGTTGACCCTATCAGTGTGAAATAGTTTATATCCCTGTATGTTGCATTCAGAAGGCATTTCTCTATCTTTCAGGTTGAACCAGGTCTCTGTTATAGCAATAATATCTATATTAACTACACTTGCAAGTAATCTTAGCTCCTCTATCTTATTTCTTAGACTCCTACTATTTGTATAGTAAACTTTAAGTGAGCTAGTCACACGTCGTCCTCTACTATCTCTCTTTGTTTGTTGATCAATTGAATTGTCATTACTAGCAACTTTATTTTGAATGTTGTCTTTTAAACATATCCCTGAGGTATCCCGGTAATAACTGCTGTTTTTAACCCTAATGCTGCAGCCTGATTGTTTCCCACAAACACCCATACATCTATAATCTATCAGTTTAAACTCCAAGACAGGTCATCAATTACCCTCTCAATTGAATTGGTTAATGCAACCACTCCATCCCCAGAGAGATGAACCCCATCCCTTGCATACATATCACGTTTGCCAAAGAATAGGTCCCAGTTATCAATGAATGGGATTGCAAGTTCCTTGCAGTACCTGTCTAGCCAGCAATTTATACCAATTGTCCTAGATATCCAGTCATTGCCCACTCCCTTTCTAGACTGGGATCCCTCCCTTAGACCTGACTACTTCTATGGTTGACCTATACTTATCCAGCAGCTCCTCTCTCCTGCCCTTCCCAGTGTCATTACCCCCAGCACTAAGACAGATAATGGGGTTGTTCCCATTACCTGCATAATATCCAATCTGCTGACTATGTCACCAACACCAGCTCCAGGAAGACACACTCTCTGTCTGACCTTTCTGTCTCTGTTACAAAATGCACGGTCCATATATCTTACCTGAGAATCTCCTACTTTTAAAATATTCTTACCTTGATTAGCAGGGGAATCAGTGGTACCTTCAACCTCACTAACCACTTAAGTACACTCGTCTTGGAGAACAGAGAATCGATTTCCTACCTTCACATCTTCTCTATTAACTCTCCTCATCTTCCTTCTTCCTGAACTGTGAACCACTTGCCACTTAAAGTGGCTGCCACTATCACTGCTGGTGACCATTCCTTCCTTACCAGCTAAATCCTTCTCACACTCACTCCCAAACTCATCTATGTGAAGCTTCAGCTTCCTATTTTCCTCCTGAAGAAGTAGAATCTCCTTCTTCAACACTTGAACCTGAGATTCTAAAACACTACAACAAGCCATGGTGCTTGGTAGCCCACGCTAACTCCCAAGAGCTTAGGCAGGTATGACCGTAGGTGACCACTGTAGTGATACACCATATGGTCACTATAACTACTGTAGTGATATACCATACTGTCACCCTCACTACTGTAGTGACACACCATACTGTCATCACTATAGTAGTGATTCACCATATTGTCACCATTACTACTGTAGTGATACACCATACTGTCACTCTCACTACTGTAGTGACACACCATACTGTCATAACTACTGTAGTGATATACCATACTTTCACCATTACTACTGTAGTGATGCACAATACTGTCACCATTACTACTGTAGTGATACACCATACTGTCACCAACACTACTGTAGTGATACACCATACTGTCACCATCACCACTGTAGTGATACATCATGCTGTCACCATCACTACTGTGGTGATACACCATACTTTCACCCTCACTACTGCAGTGACACACAATAAGCCATCATCACCACTGTTGTGATACACCATACACTGTCACCATCACTACTGTAGTGATACACCATACTGTCACCATCACTACTGTAGTGATACACCATACTGTCACCATCACCACTGTAGTGATACACCATACTGTCACTATCACCACTGTAGTGATACACCATACTGTCACTATCACTACTGTAGTGATACACCATACTGTCACTATCACTACTGTAGTGATACACCATACTGTTACCATCACTTTTGTAGTGATAAAACACTCTGTCACCATCACCACTGTAGTGATACACCATACTGTCACTATCACTACTGTAGTGATACACCATACTGTCACCATCACTACTGTAGTGATACACCATACTGTCACTATCACTACTGTAGTGATACACCATACTGTCACCATCACCACTGTAGTGATACACCATACTGTCACTATCACTACTGTAGTGATGCACCATACTTTCTCCACCACTGTAAAGATACACCATACTGTCCACCATTGCTTCTGTAGTGATACGCCATACTATCACCATCACCACTGTAGAGATACACCATACTGTCACCATCACCACTGTAGAGATACACCATACTGTCACCATCACCACTGTAGAGATACACCATACTGTCACCATTACTTCTGTAGTGATACACAATACTGTCACCATCACCACCATGTTTGTCATCACAATATCAGTGATGTCAGGGTGGACAGTGTTGTCAAGGAAGTCAGTGTTGTAAGGGTGGAGAGGGCTGTCAGTGTTGTCACGGTTTTCAGTTTTATTAGTATGGACAATTTTTCAGGGTAGACGAGTTGTCAGGGTGTATAGTGTTGTCAGTGCAGACAGAGTTGTCAGGGTTGACAGTGTTGACAGGGAGGACAGAATTGTGATGGAGGACAGTGTTTGTCAGTATGGACAGTGTTGTCAGTGAGGACAGTGTTGATGAATATTAGACACATGTACAACATCTGGGTATCTTCATTGTAGACGTTTCGCCATCCAGTTGCTTTATCAATACAGATTCTAGGACATCACTTAAAGACAGTAGAACTATATACAAAAGGTGAGGTAATGAGTCCCTCAGTCTTGGAGTTAGTGTGTAAAGCACCGTAGTTTGTAGTGATACTGGAGCACATGCAAGGAGACTGGAGCTTAAATAGGCGTCAGTGGGTAGTGGACGGGTCAGTGTTGTCAGGCTGGACAGTGTTGTCAGAGTGGACAGTGTCAGTATAGACTGTGTTGTCAGTGTGGACAGTGTTGTCAGTGTGGACAGTGTTGTCAGTGTGGACAGTGTTGTCAGTGTGGACAGTGTTGTCAGGGAGGACTGTGTTGTCAGTGTGAATAGAGTCATCAGAAAGGAGAGTGTTGTCAGGAAGGATGGTGTTGTCTGGGTGGAAAGTGTTGTCATGGTTAGCAGCATTGCAACCTCAACTAGGTGAGAACTAGGTGAGTACAGTACACAACTAGCACCATCACAACTAGCACCATCTCACACAGTAAGACACAGTATTCAACTAGAACCATAACATAGTGTAAGACACAGTACACAACTAGCACCATCACACACAGTAAGACACAGTACACAACTAGCACCATCACAACTAGCACCATCTCACACAGTAAGACACAGTATACAACTAGCACCATAACATAGTATAAGACACGGTACACAACTAGCACCATCACAACTAACACAATCTCACACAGTAAGACACAGTATACAACTAGCACCATAACATAGTATAAGACACGGTACACAACTAGCACCATCTCACACAGTAAGACACAGTATACAACTAGCACCATAACATAGTATAAGACACGTACACAACTAGCACCATCACAACTAGCACCATCTCACACAGTAAGACACAGTATACAACTAGCACCATAACATAGTATAAGACACGATACACAACTAGCACCATCACAACTAACACAATGTCACACAGTCTGACACAGTACACAACTAGCTCCTTCGCACACAATAAGACACAGTACACAACTAGCTCCATCACAACTAACACAATGTCACACAGTCTGACACAGTACACAACTAGCTCCATCACATACAGTAATACGCAGCACACAACTTGCACAATCACACAAAGTAAGACAGCGCACAGTGTAACACTTACTTAGCCACTTTAGTTGATGTAGTGTGGAGGTGACAGTGTGGTGTAGTTGTGGCAGGAGATGGCCAGCGTGGTGGTCACTCACCACAGCCAGCTGGAGGTGCCTCAGCTGGTGACATTCTTCCAGCAGCCTGACTCCTCCTCCAGTAAGACAACCAATGAACTTCTCCAGGTGACTCCTGTACCAGGATAAAACACTGATGAACACCTCACTCTTACTGACTCACCACCTACACTGTATATTACACCAAGAAGTAGTGAACAATGTTGCACTATATATTACACCAAGTGGGAGTGAACAATGTTTCTATATATTACACCAAGTGGTAGTGAACAAAGTTTCACTGTAATTTTTTCACCAATGGTAGTGAACAAAGTTTTTACTTTTATATTATCCCAAGTGGTAGTGAAAAAATGTTTCCTTTTAATATTACACCAAGTGGTATAAAACAATGTTAAAAACCGTATTTTTTACCCCCAAGGGTTTTAGTGAACAATTTTACACTGTATATTACCCAATTTGGAGTGAAAAATTTTAAACCTGTATTTTAAAACCAAGAAATATGAAAAAATTTTAAAACTGTATTTTTACACCAAGTGGTGTGAACAATGTTACCCCTGTTTTATTACCCAAGTGGTGGGGAACAATGTTACACTGTAATTACCCAATGGTACGACAATTTTTACACTGTATTTACCCCAAAGTGGTAGTAAAACAATGTTACACTGTATATTACACCAAGTGGTAGTGAACAATGTAACAGTGTTATTACACTAAGGATTTTAAGTAAAAATTTTGTTAACAATTTAAATTAATTAAAAACAAGGGGTAGGAACAATGTTACACTGTATATTACCCAAGTGGTAGTGAACAATGTTACACTGAATTTTTCCCCAAGTGGAAAGTGAACAATGTTACCCTGTTTATTACCCCAAGTGGTAGGGGGAACAATGTTACACTGTATATTACACAAATTGGTAGGTGAAAAATTTTTAAACACTGTATATTACCCCCAAGTGGTAGTGAACAATTTTTCCCACTGTATTTTAAACCCCAAGTGGTAGTGAACAATGTTACATGTATTTTACACCAATTTGGTAGTGAACAAGGGTTACTCGTATATTACACCAAGTGGTAGTGAACAATGTTAAAAACCATATACACCAAGTGGTGGGAAACAATGTTAAAACGCATTTCACACCAATTTGGTAGGAAAAAATTTGTTAAAATGTAATTAAAACCAAGTCTGCCATAGAAAAGCAGGGGTTTATCTGCTTATCAAATCAATCGAACAAAAAAGAGTATGGTAAACAGAGTTAATTGGAAGCGCAATAGAAAAGGGAAGGCTCTTTTCCCACAGGGCCCACAGTACTCGTCCCTATCGGGTTTTCCTCGTTTTCCTAATAGACATGGGACAAGATGAAAAACCATAGAAACGGGTTATCCCCCCTTGCAGACGATATGGGGGGCTGAAAGAGTGTCATCATAAACTCAAAAAATTGAAATTTGAAAACGATTGCAAAAAAAAACCATCCCCCCCGGCCCCGGGATTAAAACCCGCGGTCATAAAGCCCCAAAAAAACTCCAGCCCGTCGCGTTAGCCACAAACCCAGCTAGCCAAAAAAGTTTCATCCAACTGGGTAAATTTCAAAAACCCAATGGGAAAAATTTAGCCGGGCACCTTTGACCTAAAATTTGAATTTTTTAAACAGACGAACTCCAGCTAGGGGGCCCCTTGACAAAACTCAAAGCTCAAGTCCCTTCACTGCGTCAACAGGACTAAAGAAATTTTGGACCCCGTTTGCAAAAAACTCCCCCGGGCCCGGGGATTGAACCCCCGGTCATAGAGTTTTCCAAAACTCCAGCCCGTCGGTTGGGCCACTAGACCACTAAAACCGGGGGTTCAACCCCGGCCGGGGGTATGGTTTTTTGAGATGTCATCCATTGGGGAAAGGGCCCAAAATCCCCAAAAGATAAAAACCAAGTTTTCCAATGGGAAAACGGAAACACTATGATGTTCATTGAAAAAAATTTCCAACTACCCTTTTTGGAAAACAGGAGGAAATAATAGCTAGGACTGAGTAAAACTACAACTAAATCCCCAAATAGAGTAAAAAAAGTAATGTAAGGACTTGGGGGTGGTTTAAAGTCCAAAGATCTCACCTTCAAGGGCCTTTAAAAAATCCCCTATCACATTGGAGGAAACTGAAAAGAAAGGATAATGGAAAAATTTAAGGGCAAAAAGGGGCTAAAAACCCTTTATGTTTCCCTTTTTTTTCGCTTGTTCTTTCTAGGCTGGGAAAACTGGGTGTAATTAGCCATCCAAAATTCAAGGTTTGGTGAAATTTTAAAAGAGAATATACAGAGAGCCCTTTTTGCCCCTATAAGTTCTATCAAAACCCCCCAAAATACTGGGAAAAGCCTGGAAGCACTTGACGTGCACTCACTGGAGCGCAGGCCCCCAGGGGAGATATATCATAACCTACACCTGGAAGATTTTTGGAGGGGGTGGTCCCAAAACTGCCCCTCAGAAAAACCCCTCCCCACAACAGGGCAAAAAACTTGGGCGATCAAAAAAACCCCTATGAAAAGTAAGGGGGGCCACTGGTACACTAAGAGAAAAAAACAAAAAAGTGTTGGGGGCCCAAAACTGTTCCAAAAAAACCCAAACCCGCCAAAAGGGAAATTACCAATAGACCCCCCGGCTGCCTTTAAGAGGGAGTGGACAGACCTGAAAGGGCCCGTGCCAGAAACAGTGGGGTTGGTTCGTTTCGTTGGACTACGTGTGGCCTGTTGGGCAGGGCCCTGATTTCCCCCGGTTTTAGTTTGGGGCAACATCCCACCCGTGAGCGCACAAAACTGGGCAGGGATCCCAAAATCCCCGCAATGAAAAAAGCCCGAAAGGGACCACCCGGAAAAACACTAAAACAAAAACAATTTTGTTCAGGGGGCCAAGGGAAAGCCCCAACTGCCTAACAGCATACATAAGGGGGAATTTTCCAATGAACCCCCGGCTCTTTCTAAGACCCCCCGGCTTCTTCAAGACTCCCCGATGTTTTTCCCAAAACTCCTGGTTTTTTTCAAGACTGCTCTTGGGCTTAAAAACCCATATTGTCTAGGGAAAACGTTTCTTCCCTTTTTTCAAGATCACTGGCTATCTTCAAGTTTAGCGGGCATCAAGACATATCTATGGCCCCTTTGCTGTCCCTTTAAAAAAACCTTGGTTATCTTTATGACCCCAATCTGTCCCTTTATATCTGGTTGGGTTTTCAAAACTCCAGGCTCCTTCCACACTCCCCCCTTTCTTTCTTCAAGACCCCTGATTGTTTTCAAGACCTTGTCCCTTCCAAAATCCCCTTTGCTGTCTTCAAAATTTTCCCCGGCATCCCCATGACCTTTGGCCCAAACTTCAAGACGCCCCCTGTCTTTTTAAGGGCCCCTAACTGTCTTCAGGGCCCCTGGCTGTTATAAAAAACTCTGGGTGTCTTTAAAAAAACCCCTTTAAAGGGGTTTAAGGAAAACCCCCTTTGTCTTCATAACCCTTGGGTGTTCCCTTTAAGACATAAAACCCGTCTACAAGACCAAGGCTTTTCTTCAAGGGCCCCCGTTAAATTTTAAGAACTTTTTTTTTTCAAAATCAATCTTTTAAAAATTTCTTTTTTAAATTTAAGACCTTAAATTATTTTTAAAGCCGAGGCTGCATTTTAAGACTCTTGGCTGCATTTAGACTTTTTGGGTGCATTCAAGACTCTTGGTGTTTTTCCCAAAACCTTCGCTGTTTTTCCCAAACTCTTTGGGTGCATTCAAGGGGGCTTGGCTGCATTCAAAACTCTTGGCTGCAATTTTAGATTCTTGGCTGCATTCAAGATCTTGGCTGTAAATTTAAGACTCTTTGCTGTTTTTCAAGACTTTGGCTGCATTCAAGACTCTTTTGGGTGCATTCAAGGGCTCTTTGGCTTTCATTCAAGACCTTTGGGGGTGGGATTCAAGACTCTTGGGCCCGCATTCAAAATCTTGGCTGTATTCAAGGGCTCTTCGGGTGTATTCAAGGCTCTTGGGTGCATTCAAGGGCTCTTGGTGGGATTCAAGACTCTTGGCTGATTCAAGACTCTTGGCTGCATTCAAGGGCTCTTGGGGTGCAATTTTAAGGGGCTCTTGGCTGCTTCAAGGGCTCTTTTGGGTGTATTAAGACTCTTGGCTGCATTCAAGACTCTTTTTGGGTGCATTTAAAAATCTTGGCTGCATTTAAAAACTCCGGGTGCATTCAAGACCTTTTGTGCATTCAAAAACTCTTGGGTGCATCAAAACTCTTGGCTGTTTACCTGGAGTTTTTCCCGGAAGAGGTTTTCCCGGGGGGCAAAGCCCCCGCGGCCCCGGGCTGTGACCAGGGCCCCCCGTGGATCAAAAGCCTGATCAACCAGGTTTTTGCTGGGTGGCTGCACGCAAACCAAGTACGAGCCACAGCCCCGGGGACAGGAACTGGGCTTTAGGGGGCTTGTCCAGTGCCAGCTTAAGACGCCCCGGGGTCTGTTGGTAATCCCCCCCTTTTGTGTGTGGGGGGGCAAATTGAACAGTCCCCGGGCCCCCGACAATTTTTGTATGGTCTCTTAACGTTTCTAGTGGGCACCCCCCGCTTTTCATTGGGGGGAGGATGGTTTCAAGTTTCTGCCCCGTCTTTTGCTTTTGAGAGTGATTTTCGTTTTGCAAGTTCGGTACTAGTTTCCCCCTTTGGATTTTCCAGGTGTATATAATCATGTATCCCCCCCTCCTCGTTCCAGGGAATACAGGTTTAGGAACCCCAAAACGCTCCCAATAATTGAGGTTTTTTTATCTCGTTAAGCGGGGCCCTGAAAGTTTTCTGTACAAATTTTTTAGGTCGGCAATTTCACCTCCCCTTTTAAAGGTTGTTAGTGTGCAGAATTTCCCCTAGATAGAACAAGTGACTGAAGATGTCATCTGGGCTTTGGGCCCCCCTAGTTTTGAAGGTTCTCATTATCCATCCCCTCATTTTTCTAGCAAACGTTGATACAATGTTATGGGCCTTTAAGGTGAGATCCTCCGACATAATATCCCGGGCTTTGACTTGGTTTTTTTGCTATATTTTGTGGCCCAAAATTTTTTTTGTACTCTGTGAAAATTTAAATTTTCCCCAGTTTAACCCTATCTGGTAATTGAAAT